TTTATTTATTTATTTATTTATTTATTTTGCAGAATGGCAGTATAATGTCCAAAAATTATCATCTGTGATTTGGCATTTATTTCAGGTTGTTTTTGTGCTTAGAATAATTATGGAGCAATTAAATCTTGTTCAATCAGGGAAGTTGTGCAACATTGTTGTTTTTTGGGTCTTTTGGGATGGATTTTCTGTTTGGTTGGTTGGTTAAGAATTCATCTAAAATGTGCTTATGAAAACTAATCCTCAATCCTCACTTTTTAAGACAAATTCTCTTTAATCAGTTTAAATAAAAAAGACCTGCTTCTGCTTTGTTGCTACATAATTTTCTATTACTGTCCTTAGGGACGTTATTTGCTTGTGTGGGCTTTTTCAAAGAATTTAAGAGATTAATGACTTTGGCCAGTCTAAAACTGGTACTTTGTAATAGCACGTGTGACTCGGAAGACTTATTTTCTGTTTCAGACACATCTGCATTTTTTGTTTTGCAAAAATCAAAAGAGTTAGGAGAAGGGTAAATATTCCAATCACAAGATAATAGATTTTTTTTTTTTTACAAGAAGATAAATTCTTGTGTATTTCATGGTGGATACAGAGTTGTTTAAAGGAAGACACGTTCTCCAGATGTTCCAACTAAATCCAAATCAAAATTTTTTAAAAAGGAGCATCCTGCAATTATTTCTATAGGCTGTCTTCATATAGATTTTATCTAAGAGATCAAGGGATAGGTCCTATTTATATAAAGCAGATCGTTTCTGCTCTATGCATGTTTTTAATGTTGATTCCTCTGGTATGAAGAAATAATCTGCTCTGCAAAGCTGAGAGATGTGTATGGGTAAAACAATAAGTACATTCCTTCTTTGAAAAATACTGTCACTTTATCCTCTGCATTAGACTGACTTTGGTTTTAAAGAGATTTTTAAAAGTAAGGGATTGTTGTCTATGAATGCCCCCTCTTCGGAGGATAGGCATTCATAATAAAGGTCTGGTGGGAAAAAAAAGGCCAGTGCTAAGCGCTTCAGGAAAAAAAATAGGATGAAAACAAACAAAAAGTCTCACTTTAAACAGTTTCCTATGAAGCAGTTGGTATTCTTCCTGCTTTGATGGAAGTTGATGACTCACACGTTCATCTGCCAAGTGTATAAAGGGGAGCGAACACACTTCGCAGGCAGTTTTCATTATGTAAAACAATGTGCTCTACAAATAGAATTGCAGAGTTAAGAAAAAATATTGTATAGCAGAGATTACAACTTCAGATTTTCCTGTGTCAGTTGTAGTATAGAAAAACACTGAATACCTGCGTGTAGTCCTTTTCTAATGGTTGGCAGTGAGATTGTAATGCCTCGCTACGTAAAGAAGCTCGTCTCGGCATGCGTGCAGTCGTTAGGCACGTGTATGAAATAAGGGAAGTACCTTGTAGGTGGAAGTATCACCATCACATCTGTACGTTGTGTCCTCCTCTCTTGTGGTCAAACACTGGTTCTTCCTGTGTCTACAGTGAATGTTTGCTATCTGGAAAAACATATTCCCCTGTGGCCCAGTGAGATATTTTGTGTCTGAGAGTAGAGCTTGCATTATTTTGAGGGGTAATACCCTTACGTTAATTCCCTGGGTGACTTGGCCGAGATGATTCTGCTCCATTGTATTTTGAGAGTCCTACGGTCTTGGTTTCTTCAGTTTTGATGGGTCTACTTTTCTGTACTTTTATCTTCAACTCTGGGGTCTACAGTAACTATCTTGTGCTTGCTCTCAGCAAACCCCTTTCTCCCTTCAGCAGGCTGCTGTGGAGTTGCCTTCCTCTGCAGATCCTCTCTATATAATTCTTAATGGCCCTGGAATACTCTTTGATCCTGGCTTCTAAGAGGAATCTGGATAGAGGGATATTCTGTTGAGTAGGCACAGGAAAGTCAAGTATAAAGCCACATTCATTATTAAATTCAGCACCTGAAACTAACAGCTGCTCTCAGAAAATCTACCCCAGAGAGGTGTGCCAGTATTGGGTTTGCACTCTTACTAATGTATTATTATATATCATCAAAGGTAAATGCAGTTATTTTACTCTAAAAAAAATTGCTTTACAGTAGTATATCAATATTTAAAGTGAAACATTGGTTCGAAAGTTCTCTTGCAAGGGTTCATGCTGTAAAGGCTATATTGGTTTAAAAAATCTAGGTCTTGGGTTTCTTTGTCCAGAAAGGGTACCTGGAGCTCTGTGTCTGTGATGGTGAAATTTGTGTTTTGTTCTCAGTTGTTAAAGGAAAATGTTTCTAACATGAAAGCCCCGTAATATTCTGTTCAAAATATAATAGGAAATTAAGATGTTTGTCGATAGGCTTACCTGTGTAGGAAGTCTTTAAAACTCTGTCCTAGGTGTGCCTTATATGTGGTTCAAATGTATTAGTACTAATAGTAAATCTTACTGAAATTGAATTGGAAAACATTCCAAAGTATATGTGTAATAATTTATTGCATTAAAGGAAAAGGCCATATTTGTGAGACTTGAAATACAATGCACATGCACAAGTGTAAAAAAATGTTTTGTTGAGAAATCAGTTGTTGGAAATGTATGTTTTTAATTTTAGTAGTTTGAGCTTATGGATCAGAGCTAGTAGAAGACTCAGGGTGAGCAGAATGGAGGAAATATTTTTCAAAAAATTACTATAGAACAAAATTGAATACCTTAAAAACTCAGTGATTTTAGCTTTCTGCCTTCTAGGAATCACTATTAATGCTAGAAGCCAAAGGGGTGTTGCTAAATGGCATTCTTTTGAATCTTAACAGCACAAAATAAACTTATGTGAATTATCTTCCAAAGCATTATCAGATGGTGAAGGCCTTTTAGATTAAATAAATAGAGTAGCACAAAAATGGTGAAGAGACATGGGTGCCTTTTGTTCCTGAAAGTTTCATGTCATCTGCTCACATAGGATTTGTTTCACAAGGAGGCTGTTCTTTCATCGTGACTTCCAAAAAACCCAAAGAAGTCTAATGAAAGGTGCACATTGCAGTCATTGCTTGATTATGTCCAGGAATCCTCCGTGAGCACGTTGTAGGTAACCAGAAGTCAAGCTAGTATAATGGCAGCTTTGTAATGGGGAGCAGGAGCAAGAGAAAGATTAGAACAGGGCAGAAGGATGTGTGTCTTTGCTGGTGGCAGGATCTCATCTCCTTTTATCTTGTTTAGGTTTCTCCTCTGCCTCCTACTTAAAGGTCCATGTTAAAACCCACCACGGTGTTCCCCTTCCCCAGGTCTCCAGGCACCAGGAGTCCATCCCGAATGGGGGAGCAGCGTTCCACTGCGTCAGGACCTATGGCATCAAAGGCAAGAGACGGGCTCTCTGCACCTTGCTGCTCTGTGCAGAGCTTTGTGTTGTGGGATGTTGGGCTGGGCGTGAGAAAGGGGAGGGTGGAAGAACAGGGAAAATACTGGAGAGAAGCTCAGGGAGATGCAGAGAAATCTCATAGCATCACATCGTATGTGATACGTGTCCTTGGATAGCCAATTTAAGAAGTCTGGGGGAAGGAGATGGACACGTAAGGGTACATGAATTTTTGGCAGCTTCTTTGATTTTAGAAATTGAAAAAAAAGGTGTCAGTTCGTCTTGGCCATCTTCCTAGGAGCCGTCAGTGTTTGAATTTTGCCTGAGGGGTGCAGATCCTTGACGGTTCCTTAGTCCCACTATACTTGAATCTCGTGTCAGTCGAACCGCATTTCTGATTTCTGGTGAAGGAAGGGGGAGTCAGATAATGGAGTTCATAAAGATTCTTGAGCAGCAAAAGCAATATTCATCCCCAGGTTGATGAGGAGCCATGCAACTATCTGTACTTAAACTTACACTTTTTAACGCTGTTGAGGAGGAGAGGTAGAGGTGATAATAGGGCTGGTTTTTTGTTGTTTTTTTTAACCTGTGTTTAACTTCTGAAAGGAAAAGAAAGACAGAAAAAGTGTATTACTGTAAAAATAGAGAATTTAACTTCTGAACGTGTAAAGCTGTGTGTTAATCTATGTAGAACAGTTTGCTTTTTGATTCTTGATTTGAGCTGTCGGTATTCCTGGTGAAGCTGAAACATCAGAAAATTCTTCAAAACCGTAGTTACACCAAAAAGTTACACTTTTTTTCTTGTCCAGGAGAACACAACATGCTGAGTTAAACAAAGTCCGTGCCAGCAGAAAGCTACAACTGTGTAATTTTTTCTGTTGAACTCCTGATAGAGTTACTACAGAAGCCTTTTGGGTGTGGGTGGTGTGCTGACTTAACAAGAGATTTACTCCAGCTCAGTGGTGTATTGATTTCATGCATATCCTGTTTGGTTTGTAATGCCGAGGCCAGAGCAAATCTGTCTTTTGGGTTGTGCCAAGTGGTTCTCTGGTCTTTTAGAGTTAATAGTAGGTACAGCTTATTTGTATTCAGAGACTTGTTTAAGGAGTACGTCTGAGTTTCCCACGCTCATTCATACGCGCTGAGCAAAAAGTGTGGACAAACTTTCTTGGCATTCTGCCAGAAGAGAATGGGGAGCACTCCAAACATACCAATGGCTTTGCCAGGATATGTATCCAAATGACTTAAAATAGTGTCCCTAACCTTTTCCCTGTTTCACACTACGGTATTTAAAGGTAGAACATATTTAGATTATGAAGTTCACTTCTAACAGTTTGCATATAACTTGTAAAAGAGTTCCTCAAGACTAAATGGAATTGTACTTCTTAAATTCCAGTAGCTTACTCCTGTTTTGCTGAGTATTTCGAGGTTTCTTCCTGTCTTGCTGCAGCCTGTTGGACTTTAGTAGGTTTCTAGGCTCTCTCCCAAAGTATCAACACTGTGTCCGAAGTGTGGGAGTGAATTGCATAGATAAAAAAATCATCATTAGGTCTATCCTTTTGTGTAGTGCCTGAGGTATAAACATTGAGATTCAAAAAAATATCATATAAACCAGAGACTCCATTAAGGTTGCATTCAGGACCATGACAAACGCATAATGAAAAGCTGGATGTTGCTCTGATAGCAGCCCAGTGGTTTGTAAAGAGCATCTGTGGTCAAGGGCTTTAGAATATGAGGGTTTGTGATGTTCAGCCTGCATCGTTCTGTCATGGCAGGTATTAATGAAATCAGGTGGTAACCAATGTAATCTCTTTTAGTGCGTGTTAAATACCTTTTTGGGGAGATGAGATTCTGAAAACGTATCTCTTTTTCTCTTTCTCGTAGAAGGCCAGAAATGTTCACATTCGGACCCGATTGAGAGTTCTGATTCATACGGAGACCTCTCTGACACCAGTGACCTCAAGACTCCTGAGAAGCAGAGCACCAATGGGTCCTTCTCGTGTGACATGGCAGTCAGCAAAAACAAAATGGAGACGGAAGGAGAGAAGAAGTACCCTTGCCCTGAATGTGGCAGCTTTTTCAGATCCAAGTCTTACCTGAACAAACACATACAGAAAGTTCACGTCAGAGCCCTTGGTGGCCCATTGGGGGACCTTGGTCCTGCTCTAGGATCCCCCTTTTCACCCCAACAGAACATGTCTCTCCTGGAGTCGTTTGGGTTTCAGATCGTCCAGTCAGCATTTGCATCATCCCTAGTGGATCCAGAGGTCGACCAGCAACCAATGGGGCCAGAGGGGAAATGAGATCGGTTTGATCTTAACAAAGCAAAGCGGCAGTCTGGCTATAATGATAAGATGCTGTGAATGAAAGAGGAAATAATGAAATTTGGTTCTATAGCTGAGAATTTTTTATTCCTTTTAGCTTCCCTCTTTGTCTCATGCCCTACCCCACCTTTAAACCTTCCCTGGGGAGAGGGAGAAAATGCTTCTTAGCTGATGAATTACAGAAGATGGTGACCTTGAATAGGAGACATGACCTAAAACACCTAATGGAGCTTTAGAGGCTGCTGCTGGTGTTTCGTTACAATCTTCCGGAATAAACAAAAGTTCCCAGCACCGATTCGAGACTTAGACAGTCCTAGTGACCGAGGCACCTGCGGAGCTACAGCTACAGGGAGCTATGCTTTCATTCTCTCTCTACTTCCCACCTTCCCTAACCTACCCAAGAAGAACAGTAAGTTTTTAAAAACAGACCCGTTATTGACCCATTATTGAATATAACATTAAGTAAAATGCCCCATGGTACCTAGCAGGTTACAATGCAGTTGTCCTTTTAAAAACAGAAAAATTTAAGGAAGGCGAGAAAATTTCAACCCCTTCTGCCGTTTGTGAGGCTGTGAGTGCTGCAGCAGGACTGAACTGCTGAGAAAAGTCACCATTCAGAACAGGTTGTTTTTGTTACTTTTAACCATTAAACTTGCTGTCAGGTTTTTAATTTTCTATTATTATTATTTTAGGACCTGTTGTAGTGAATTGCTACTGAAAAGCCAGTCTAAGGCGATACACAGAGCACTCTTAAAGCAGCAGTCACATTAGGGTTAGTATTAATTTTTTTTTTAGATGTACCATAATTAATATCTTGGCTAGTTGATTGTTTTAAGTCTATGAAAGAAATAGTTTTATGAAAAAAGAAAAAAAGAAAAAAAAAAGGAAGGAAAAATACCATTGCAGTCTGGTTGACTGGTGCTCATTTTTCATGTGGGGACCTAGGGTATAAACATGATCAGCTATCGGGTTGACACTATGTACCACTGACTTGTTTAGTGTGAATAAACCCAGGGGTTCACAGAGTGATTTTGGTTTAATTGGATTGGACTCTATTAAAGAAGTTAGTATGTTACTTTGCATCCCCTCGTTTTGTCTGGTTTTTGAGCATTTTAGCCACCTGTCCAAAAGGTGTGCAAATGAGAACCAGTAAATAAGACATTAATCCCACTCTGCACGGTACTGTATTCTCGGGGAGCTGGGCTTTGTAGCCTACAGCCGTGCTCTCCTGATCTGCCTCTAGTCAGCTTTGTAAAAACCAGTTTTAGTCCTTTCTTTCTCGAAGAAGAAGGATTTCTACTATAAGAGATGGGAATTGCAAACAGCGTCTCTCTGAAAAAGAATTAATTACAAAATGCAAAGAAGCTAGGCTCTAGGCTGTTGGAGGTTCCTTTTGATCTGAAAATACCATTTGTGCAGAAATAATGTCCTTTCTTGACCCTCCCTTTCCTCCCATGTAACTTGTCAAAGTTTTATGTACCAAATACAGGTATAAATGTTGTTTAACACAGGGTTCAGAGTTAGGAATACTCTGAGTTGTAATTATGGTTCTGCTGTTGATACTCAAGGTCACATAGGACAGCTCCCCGAATTTATTCCTTAATTTCCAATCTCTGAAGAGTTTTCTCTTCCTTGCAATTGCTGTGAGGGTTAATGAGCAAAGGTTTAAGCAATGATTCAGTAAAGTAAGTTACTGTGTGTGCCGAATGTTTCTGGAAAGGCCACTCCGAAGAGCCCAAGTCCCACACCAGACTTGCATTCTCTGAAACAATGGCTGTCTCCATCATCAAAAGACTGCTGGAGCAGGATAGACCTCCTCAGACAGGACCTACAGCCTCCGCAGGAGACATGCCTGTATTAAATGTGAACGTAGCCACAAACTGCTGTTGCGCCACAAGTGGTGTTGCCCAGGTGCTCCTAAGCCAAACGCTGCGGCTAATGTGTAATTGAAATAAGACACATTCCTGTTGTGTTTTTATGTTAGAATTATAGAGCCTTTTGTAAGCATGCAGATTTTGGAATGATGTTCTAAATTCTGCAGACACAGAAGCCCCAGCTTCTCTCCTGTAAGAAGTTACTTTTTTTGTACTTGCTCTCAAGTGTTACAAACCAAGGATGAATAATCAATGGCTTTCTCTTTATAGCACCAGCACTTTCTAAAATGAGAGCATGTTGCAGTGGACTTGATGTTTTGCTATTAATCTGTGTTGGGAGACTGAAGGACATGTTCTTCTCCATTCATCTTCCCCCAGAATCCTTGGAATAGGTATGAGTCTCATTTAAAAGGGGGCAAAAAAACCCCAAACCCACGCACCTTCAAACTAAAGCTTCATGGAATTGCTATTGCTGTACTGGCAAGCTTAGCTGACAAGTAGAAACAGGATGTTTTGGAAAGGTAACAAAACATTTTAAAATACGGTACAAATCTAGACCGTGCTGAGACAACCTGGTAAACTGCCATGCAAGTCAAGATGGAACAGGCTTTCCAGTCAGCATAACAATTCACTGGGATTGCAAATGCAGCTGCAGTCAGTCTTATTTACTAATAGCCTGTATTTAAGCCACCAGGAAAACTTCTGTTGAATTGAGGCTGTATTCTGAAAGTTATAAGAAGTTTGTGTCCCAGATGTTCCACTCAAAGAGGTTACACTAGTCATAAAATTCAGCTCCAAAAGCCAAGTCCAGAATATAGAATATTTGCATCTTACTGCTCCACTGACTTCAATTTTACTAGTGCTTAGAATTTTGGCCAGTGTCTATCAGAATTTAATTTTGAACACTACAGAATTTGACCTGATGAAATAAATGAAAAGCCTTGAACTAAAAAGGAAGCCTTCTAAAACACTAACTGTGCATTTTGCTTGTCAAAGAAAACGCTTACTAAGTTGTCATGAACACACTGAATGAAAGCTACTTACTTCTCAGTCTAGTGGACAGGGAAACAATTAGGCAGGAAGTTAACAATCCTGAAATGACCGTTCTAGATCATTCTAGTGTAAATGGGAGAGATTTGCACCAACACAGGAGACTGGTGCAGACTAGCGCCAGCAGTAGGTTGGACAGATCCGGTAGCACTGGTGCCTTTTTAGAGCTTTTTGCTTCTTTGGGGGCATATTGTACCATTCTGGATAGTAATTTAGTCTAGATGCAAATTCTTTATATTGTGTACTTTGGGAAAGGTCTGATTCTCACAGAACAGAAGAGAGATGCAAACAGAAAACTGGACTGCAAGCTCAGTTAGGTTTTTAATTGGCCTATCAGCGTATAGATGACAGTTCTCAGTTTGGGCCAGCCCTCCTTTCGTTATCATCTTTGGTGGGGTGGCAATCCAATGTTTGATTCTTTGCACTTTTCTGCCAAGAAGAGAACTTTCAATTCATGCAAACGTAGATAATCAGAGCTGTAGCATTTCTTTGTATTATAGGAGTCCCTAAGCCCCTCAGCTGAGGTTCAGACCCTCCTGTATTAGGTGTGATAAAAACATCCTCAGCCATTTATAATCTAAACATTCAAGACAGACAAGAAAGGAACAGATGTTTATAGGTGAATGAGTGAAGTAAAGATGAAGAACTAGAAACTCCTTGCATGCATGCTGAAGTCTTGTGCTGGATGTAGGGGCACAGATTCATCAGGCTGCTTTTGTTGCCTGAAATTATCTTTATGTACTGTTAATCCGCAACAAATGCAAGGCGAAGCAATTTAATGTGAATTTATGCCATACTGAGTTAAATTTAGTCACATTACCTTGCATTTGTCATGTGTTAGATGTGTGTAAACAGACTTACCAGCGTGGCTCACCTGGTGCATGGAAACATGCGTGTGAGCGCTCAGTCTTAAAGTGATTTGCCCATGATGACGTATGTGGGAAATTGATAGCAGAACCAGAAATTGAACGCAGATTTTTCCTTCTCTCAATCCAGTGCCTTAACTATAGTAGGGCAAAGTATTATATGTCGCGGGGGATGATTGTTTTGTTTGTTTTTTAAAGCCTAGAACTAGAAGGTGATGTGGAGTTGGTCTTCCTACAAATCTTTTGAATAATTGCAAATGCCCAGTCACAATTTTAGACCTGTTTGAGTGCCAGTGACTTAGGGAATATTTGTTATTTCCCACGTATTCCCTGAAATTTTTGTTCCTCCCTCAACTGCTGTCAGCAGTAAGGAATGACTTGAATAGAAGAGCTGTGTAACTGAATGTCTATCTAACTCAACTAATTGAATTGATAGTATGAAAGCTAACCTAGATTTTGTAGGCTCTGTTGTAACTTTAGTGTCTTGTTTTTTCACTAAATCTTTGTTCCTAGAAATCAATTTCTGAACTTATGTCTTGAGTCTGGAGTGGGGTACCACTTTCAGCTTTAATTTTTTTTTAAGGTGCTTGCTTGAGGAAGTAGATGCCAAAGTAAACTTCAGAGGAACTCCAGACTTCAGTGTTGGAAGAATGAACGGAGAGCAAGAGCTCTCTTTGGGTTTCATGAGAGATAAATGGACAAAGTGAAAAACAGCTACCAAAATTTTAAGTAATTAAACAAGAAAGGCTTTTCTTGATCACCCACAAAAATAATCAGATATTTTCAATTGTTCAGTGTGGCAGAAACTCTGAGAGCAAGTGCCAAACAAAACCATGGAATGTGTTGGCATTTTCAGCATTATAAATATACCGTAACAGCGTTATGAATATTTTAATGTAAATTAAGCCAGCCTTGTACCATTCACTTTTTGCCTGGGCACAGTACCTGAGTGTTCATTGAATAGAATAAGGTCAGGTGAATCTCTGAGCTTATGCTTGCAGTTCTACCCTGAGAGACAAAACAAATGAGCAAAGACAGGAAAAAAAAACAGTAGGAAAACTTAAAAGGGAAAACAGATTCTGGAAGATTCCCATATCTCCTGAGAGAGCCCTGGTTTTTATCCTGAACATCCTTTTCAAAACAAGATCTTTCAGCTGTTGGGAATGAGCCTTGGGGAACAGATTTGGCTTTTGGCCCAGTCTGCCGCTCCCAGTCCCGTAAGAGGGCGGTGTGTTGTGGAGCGCTCAGCCGGGGCGGGGGGGAGGCAGTGCCCGGGGGCAGCAGCCTGAGCCCACTCTTACTGTTGCAGAGTCAGCAGCAGCAGCGTTGGTATCATCGTCCTGCTCGCCCCCCTGACACCGTCACGCTCCACACATTCCGATGCCAGTGCGGTACCTACTCGGATGTGTACAGCTCTGCAGATAACTGTATTAGCTATGAGCCAAACCAGGTAACTATTTGGCTAAAAAGAAAAGAAAAACAAAACCAAAACCAAACACACAAAAAGAGTTGTGTGACATAACAGCAAAGTGGTGCAGAACAGGAGCAGGACCCTGGCTGTGAGAGGTTGTGGCGATGGCTGGAATGGTTAAAGCTAAAGCGGGTTAGTGAAAAACCACAGTTGTTTGCTCT